CATTCTGATGCTCGGTTTGAACTTCAGCAAGTCGTCTTCACCACGTCTTGATACCTAAATGCATTGAGTAGCAATATGTGTTACCAAGCAATTAAAAAGGTGTACCTGATAAAGTGGTCGGTGAGTGTATACTTGATTTACAGGATCACAGTAGTAGTGGAACCCTCTTATACACTGGACTGTTTGATTCAAATAACTCTCTTTTGTAAATTGGGCATATTTTTATGCATATATTATAAAATATTGTCATTATATTCATCACATGTAACATAAATATGCACAATTTTGTCTTTTACCGTGATATTTATGATTTAATGTAGTGCAGCACTTTGAAAAAGTATTGAATAGAAAAGCTCAGCTTCATAGTCTAGAATGGCAAAGCACTCCCCTGTTCCTCCTTCTTCCTCCAAGCTAAGAGACTGACTGAGGACTGCACCGTCCTTGTTATCTACTTCCTGTGAAGACTGGAAGTTCAGAGAAGCTGCACTGCGAGAGCATGAGCTAGTAGCATTGAAAGCTGTAAATAATGAGTGCTGAGGTAAAAATATTATTCTATAGTAATAGTACTGGGGAATGTTCATTTTATTGTGCTCAGTGTTTTAAAACAAAAAATACTGGGGGTTTAATAATACTTTAATTGCTACCATTGTCTGAACATTGCTCAACGTATAGCAAATAAAATTTTCCCATAAACATTTTAATTTATAGTTCCAGAGCAGGAAGGCAGTGTAGAAAGACCTTTCTAAGGCAGGCATGTCAAACTGGTGATATTTGGGGCACATGTGGCCCTCTTGCTTCTTCTTTGTGGCCCTCAGAATTTATAGAGACACTGTCACTATTTTAAAAATGAAATTAAGCCCTCCCTGCAAACAAAGAAATGAATGCTTACCTACCCACAGTCCGTATGGCTAAGATTTTCTTTTTTTGAAGATACAAGCTTTGCTGGAGAATGTTTAATATTTGCCAGTCCTGAAAGTGATAGATGCTGGTGCCCCCATCCCCATCCCTTTCCCCCATTGCACTCTGTGGTTTTCTCTGTCATCCCTACAAAGCAAAGTAGTGTTGTAGAAGGAGCAACAATGCACAGCAGTCTGCCAGATGCTGGGGACATCTTAGCAAGCCTAAGGCTAGGTTCACACTAGTGCAGCTGCAACTTGACCCAATTTTCAGTGCAGTTTTGTAGTGCGACATTAGTGCGTCCATTTTGACAAGTTTTTGATGTGTTTTTCATGCTGTTGTGTTTTTTTTTTGTAGGGGGAGAAGACTGCTCAGTACAGAATGTAAGCAAAGGAACCCATCATTAACCACTTGCCCTCCTGGGGATTTACCCCCCTTCCTGACCAGGCCATTTTTTGCATTACGGCGCTGCGTTACTTTAATTGCAAATTGTGCGGTCACGCAACGCTGCACCCAAATGAAATTTACGTCCTTTTTTTTCTACGACTTGAGCTTTCTTTTGGTGGAATTTGATCGCCTGTGTGTTTTTTATTTTATGTGCTATAAAAAAAAGTTCGACAATTTTGAGAAAAAACAATATTTTTGAATTTTTGCTATTAAACATGTCCAGTAAAAAAATTTCAAAAATCAAGTTTCGTCAGAAATTAATGCCAAAACATATTCTGTTACATGTCTTTGCTAAAAAAAATCCCGATACGTGTAAATTAATTGGTTTACGTAAAAATTATAGCGCTTACAAATGGCAGTATATGTCCATTTTTTAATTATTTTTACTAGTAATGGCAGCAATTAGCGGCTTATAGCGGGACTGTGGCGGACTTTCTGACACTGGGGGGAATTGGCTTGGTGTCACTGACATCCCCAATGTCACCAATACAGTGATCAGTGCTAAAAAAAAGCACTGGCACTGTACTAATGGCACTGGGCAGGAAGGGGTTAACATCTGGGGCGATCAAAGGGTTAACTGTGTGCAGAGAGTGTTTTACTAGGGGGCGGGATGTGTGTGCTTCACTGTAATCATAGTGCTGTGGATGGCTGTGCTGTGCACAGCCATCCACAGCAGTTTGCCCAAGCTGACAGGGAGGAGGGCTTTTAGTAAAAAAAAACGGTCCTTCTCGCCGTCGGAGATCCACATAAATGAACAGGTGCCGGGAATAATTACCGGGTGGGGACAGTGATTGACAGCCGCGGCTGGCGGCGTGGGTAGGGCGCGCGCGCAGCTCGCTCGCGCCCCCTACCCGGAAGTGCGAAATCATGTATATATACGTGATTTTGTGTGCACCCGTGCCGCCCTGTTGCAGTATTTCTGCTATAGGGCGGCCAGGTAGCGGTAAAAAAAAAAATAAAAATAAAATATATATATATATACACACATACAGTTGCAAGAAAAAGTATGTGAACCCCTTGGGATTACGTGGAGTTTTGCATGAATTGGGCATAAAAATGTGCTCTGAACGTCATCTAAGTCACAACAATAGAAGAACACAGTCTGCTGAACATAATACTACACAAACATTAGATGCTGCCATGGTTTAATTGCACATAACATGTAAACATTCACAGTGCAGGGAGATGTCAACCTTTGGACTTAATAACTGGTTGACCCTCCTTTGGCAGCAATAACCTCAACCAAACGTTTCCTGTAGTTGCAGATCAGACCTGCACAACGATCTGGAGTAATTTTGAACCACTCCTCTTCACAAAACTGTTTCAGTGTAGCAATATTCTTAGGATGCCTGGTGTGAATCGCTCTCTTAAGGTCATGCCACAGCATTTCAATCGGGTTGAGGTCAGGACTCTGACTGGGCCACTCCAGAAGGCATATTCTGTACTGTTGCAGCCATTGTTTTGTTGAATTTACTTGTATGCTTTGGGTCATTGTCCTGTTGCATCACCCATCCTCTGCGGAGCTTCAGTTGGCGGAGACAGATGGTCGTACGTTTTCCTTCCTGCAAAATGTCTTGATAAACTCTGGAATTCATTTTCCCATCAATGACAACAATCCGTCCAGGCCCTGAAGCAGCAAAGCAGCCCCAAACCATGATGCTCCCTCCGCCATGTTTTACAGTGGGGATGAAGTTTTGATGTTGGTGTGCTGTGCCTTTTTTTCCACACACATAGTGTTGTGTGTGTTCTTCCCAAACAACTCAATCTTGGTTTCATCTGTCCGCAGTATATTTTGCCAGTAGTGCTGTGGAACATCCAGGCGCTCTTTTGCAAACTTCAAACGTGCTGCAATATTCTTTTTGGACAGCAATGGCTTCCTCCGTGGTGTCCTCCCATGTACTCCATTCTTGTTTAATGTTTTCCTTATTGTAGATGTGACAACAAAAATGTTAGCATGTGCCAGAGATTTCTGTAGGTCTTTAGCTGACACTCTGGATTCTTCTTTACCTCATGCAGCATTCTGCGCTGTGCCCTTGCAGTCATTTTTACAGGACGACCAAAGAGTAGCAACAGTGCTAAACTTTCTCCATTTGTAGACAGTCTGTCTTACCGTGGACACATGAACATCAAGGCTTTTGGAGATACTTTTGTAACCCTTTCCAGCTTCATGCAAGTCAACAATTCTTGATCGTAGGTCTTCTGAGAGCTCTTTTCTGCGAGGCATGGTTCACATCAGACAGTGCTTCTTGAAACCAGTAAACCCAAAACAGGTGTATGTTTTTTAAGGGCAGGACAGCTGTCAGCAACACATCCAATACCATCACACTGATTGGAGTCAAGGTTGGCTCACTCCTGGCTCCAATTAGCTCTGGGAGAAGTCATTAAGCTAGGGCTCACATACTTTTTCCTCCCTGCACTGGGAATGTTCACATGTTATGTGCAATTAAACCATGGCAACATCTAATGTTTGTGTAGTATTATATTATGTTCAGCATACTGTGTTCTTCTATTGTTGTGACTTAGATGACGTTCAGAGCACATTTTATGCCCAATTCATGCAAAACTCCACGTAATCCCAAGGGGTTCACATACTTTTTCTTGCAACTGTATATATATATATTGCTGCCCCCCCCACAATCCATACCTGGCCCTTCGGGTCTTACAGTGATTAAAAGACTCACATATATTCAGTAAAGTGACTAGCATCATGTAATGCAAAAAAAAATAAAAAAAACAAATCCTCTTACATAAGTTGTATGTGTTTATCTGCGGCCATTTTGTCTGTAGATTGCTTTTTTTGCAGATCAAAGGGAATTTTTTTCTTAGCTTTAGCCTGACAAAGCGGTCCTGTGTGACTCCAAAACATTGCCTTGCTTTAACTATGTGATCGTTCATTAAAACTTTTGGACCCATATTGGTGATTCTCTAATCTTAGCAGAACTCACCACCAGCTAAGAAGAGACTTAAAAAGAGAAGTTTAGTTTTTTGGGGTTTTTTTTTTTCGAAATTATACTTACCTAGGTGGATGCAGCATCTGTCCTCCACCTTCTCTAAGACTGAGAACTGAGTGATCAAACACTGTTCAGTTCTCAGTGCTCTGTGAGCAGAGAGCTGGTGACTGTCAGTCAACGCTGTCTGTTCTGCCCCTCCAGCACTCACTAGAGCACTGAGCTGTGGAGAGGGCGGGAGCGGCGGGGCTCAGACTCTCAGCGGCTTGCTGACAGGCTGTGACAGGTGCTGGCCAAGACATCTGGGTGGATCCCAACTTTAAAGTCGGGATCTTTCCCAAGTCTGGACCAGCTGAGTGACGTCAGCCGGCAGTAGACTTTAGCCCACTGTCAACTGAAAAGGGGTCACAAGAGTGCAGAACTAACTGCACTCCTGTGATCCACAGGGAAAGTACAATCAAATGAGCTTTGGCTATACTTCTGTTTTTAAAAAAATCGGGGGAGGATGAAAATCATCTTGGCTTTCACACAATATGACCCCTTTAACAATTATTACATTCATCTCAACCCACTGTTTAACCACCTCCCACCCGCCATATAGTCCAATGACGGGCGCTAGGTGGTTCTCTTGTTCTAAGAGGACATCATATGACGTCCTCCCATTCTCACCGCGCTTGCGCGGCTCAGGGAGTGCGCAGCGATTGGCGGTGCACTGTGTCCCTCGGACACAGCAGATCACCGATCCACGGAAAGAGCCGAAGATGTCGGCTCGGTCATGTGATCAGCTGTGTCCAATCACAGCTGATCACATGTAAACACGGAAATGCCGGTTATCGGCATTTCTCTCCTCTCGAGCTGTCACGCTGACAGCTCGAGAGGAGAGGAGAGCCGGTAATCGGCTTTCCGCGTGGAGGGGACATGTACACTGATCATCAGGGCACTGATGATCAGTGTGCCCTGATGATCAGTGTAGCCCCAGCAGTGCCACCTGTCAAAGTCCATGTGCCAGTGCCTATCAGTGCCACATCAATGCCACATATCAGTGCATACCAGTGCACATCAATGCCACATATCAGTGCCCATCTGAGCTGCCTATCAGAGCCAGTTAGTGTCGCCTATCAGTGCCAGTCAGTGCTGCCTATCAGTGTGCATCAGTGCCGCCTAACAGTGCCAGTCAGTGTCACTTAACAGTGCCAGTCAGTGTTGCCTATCAGTGCCAGTCAGTGCCGCATAACATTGCCATATATCAGTGCCATGTATCAGTGCTGCCTTTCAGTGCCCATCAGTGATGCCTGTCAATGCCCATCAGTGCCACCTACCAGTGTCTCCTCATCAGTGCCCATCAGTGCCACTTATCAGTGTCCATCAGTGCAGCCTATCAGTGCCCATCACACTGCAGCCTCATTAGCGCACATCAGTGAAGGAGAAAAATCACTTATTTACAAAATTTTATAACAAAAACTAAGAAAAAACTTTTTTTTTTTTTCAAAATTTTCAGTGGTTTTTGGTTTGTTTAAGAAAAAATAAAAAACCCCAAGGTGATTAAATACCACCAAAATAAAGCTCTATCTGTCACAAGAAAATGATAAAAATTTCATATGGGTACAGTGTTGCATGACAGCGCAATTGTCATTCAAAGTGTGACAGCACTGAAAGCTGGAAATTGGCCTGGGCAGGAAGGGGGTATAAGTGCCCAGTAGGCTAGTGGTTAATTAAGGCCCATAAACACAATAAGAAAATAGTACGATAAATATAGATTTTGAAGCGATTGTACGATAATCTGATCATTAGTACACAGCTTTCAAGAGCTGATTAGGACAGGTCATGCCAAATTATTCAATGGGACAAGTACGATTTCTCGTAGATCGTATGATTTACGTTTCATCAATACAGTTTTCGTACGAAAATACAATACAATACATCACTTCCGAATATTTATTCTGTCATACAAGTTTTTTCATAACTTTAGTAACCTCATAATTTTTAATATGGAGACTAGCATGCAGAAAAAAAAAATTGACGATCATCCGTGCAGTAATCCCGTGAGTACCAGGCTTTAGAGCATGACATGTCTGATCCGGGGAGACACATGATATGATGCACATACAGCTCATAAACTGCCCTTTGGATCATGCACACTCTTTACATCTGCATCAGCATATTTTTTTTACCTTAATCCAAAGGTCAAGTACAATAAAATAAGATAAATGGTAAGAAAATTGGTAGAAGAATGAGGAAATCTTTTTGTAAACAACATTACAGTATATTTATAAAAACTATGGTGCATGTGTTTTAAATTACAGGGAAGGATTCACCTGCAGTGAATGTTTGGTGAATGTTATATTTACTGCTTTGTAAAAGTACCCCCAGAGTGTGGTTAAAAAAAAAAAAATATATATATATAGTAGATGTTAATTGTTCCTAGAACGTGAATGAATTGTGTAGCGGCAAAATAAGTATCCCGACCCGTGAAGATATGTATCCCCTGAAGCAACTGCGCATGTGCCGGTTTCAGGCCAAAGAAGCCGATCGCCGATCTCCGACTTTAGCACAGAGCTGCCACAGTTAACCCTTTACAGGCTGCAAACCGCTGAAGCTGATCCTGTGGATCACTATGAGTTGCAAGATCAGTTAACCCCGTATAGGTTCAACCTATACGGGGTTAACTGATCTTGCAACTCATAGTGATCCACAGGATCAGCTTCAGCGGTTTGCAGCCTGTAAAGGGTTAACTGTGGCAGCTCTGTGCTAAAGTCGGAGATCGGCTTCTTCTGAAACTGGCACATGCGCAGTTGCTTCAGGGGATACATATCTTCACGGGTCGGGATACTAAGTTTACAGCTACACCGGCACCGCTCCTTCGTCTCTGGAGGGGTGACACCACGTGTTACTGCACCGGGTGACACCAACCCTAGGGACGCTTCTGACCGGTGTTACTGGTGAACAGTAGTTAAATGAAAGTAGTATACCTTTAGCTTTACTGTCCTTCTTCATCCTCCATTGGGGCACAAAACACAGTGATACTGCGATGTCCTCTATCCCAAAAGTACTGTAAAGCCAATGCAATGCCACGGCAAGAGAAAAAAACGATGAAGACCATGTCTGCAGGAAAAATCAGGAGACACTGGTAACTTTGGGAGAATCAAGCATTTAATCACGTTATGTGAAATAAACATTTTCCTTTACATATAGCCCACTGAGCATCTTGCTGGCTTGTAAAACAACAGATGGATGCAACCTTCTTTTAAAGCCAAAAATAGAAAAGTCAGTAGATACAAAAATACTGTAGCTGCTGACTTTTAATAATAGGACACTTACCTGTCCAGGGATCCAGCGCGGTCCTCACTCGAGTTGGCTCCCCGGCATGTTTTGTTTGGGAAGCCAAGCCTGACTGCTTGCGGCTTCACAGCTGGCTTCCCACTGTTGATGTGCGTACCATGCTGGGCTTTGTAAATGGTCCCATAGCCTTCTGGGACCTGTGTCATAAATTTAGGCCAAAATGTATTCTGCTACATGTCAATCCCAATAAGTGTATATTAATTGGTTTATGTGTGAAAGTTATAGAGTCTACAAATGGTGGTATATATATACTGGAATTTAATTTTTTTTCTACTAGTAATTGCAGCGATCAGCAACTTATAGCGAGACTACGGTGGGCATTCTGACATTGGGTGGGAACTGACTAACTGCCACTGACATCCCAGTGACACTAATACAGTGATCAGTGCTAATAAAAAGCACTGGCACTGTACTAATGACATTGGGCAGGAAGGGGTTAACATCTGGGGTGATCAAAGGGTTAACTGTGTGCTGTTTTACATTATGTGCTGTGTGCGTTTTACTAGGGAGACATGCTGCTTCGTATTTCTCTGCTGTGCATAGAAAGGCTGGTATAGTGGTGATGACATAGCCCAGATTTGAAGTGTCACTGGGTGTGGAGGAGCCTGCTTGGGAACTGGGCAGATTGTTCCTCATCAACTTGACTTTTGATTGACATTGGGCAGTGGACTCACTTGACACCGCAGTGGGAAGATTCATAAGCTTCTATAGAACGGACGAGGGAGTATCCAGTATGGCCACTCTGACTTCCCAGGCACCAACAAATCGATGTACCCAGCTAAGACAGGTACATGAATTGGGCGCCAAGCACCAACACTTTCAGTGCTGGGCCCCCACAAAATTCTAAAGGGTGTCCACAACTTGTATAGGTAGAGACGCCATTCTAAAGTGAACAAATTCCCACTTACAATGGCTTTCATTACTGGTTTGGGTTTCCCGAGCTTTTCTTATCTGAAAATAATGTCTGCTACAAAACAACAGGTTGTTATCTTGTAAGCTAGAATTATTATAAATGGCATACAAAAAAAAACTAGACTCACATGTAAACCTTAACCTAATGAGTGTAGATGTTCATTAGTTGGTTGCATACTTAGTGAGAGTATTATGAGTCATGGAAAGGATGTGATACAAGCATGAAAGAAGATATGAGAAAATGCGGGGAACACTGAAGGAACAGTACTGAAAACACTTTTTATAGAGTAAAAATAGAACTGACTTTCCCTTGAATAAAAAGTTTCACATTTTGTTAGGTAACAATATCTATGTCCTTAAACTGGAAGCAGTGGCATTTTTAGGGTATGGTACATATGACTCGAGCCCTGGGAGACGCATGAAGGGGGGCACCACTCAGGGGTAGGGATCAGGACTGCTGCCCAGCCACCAATAGGGGAGTGGTTACTGCACTGACATCATACGCTGACTGTTAGAAAGTGCTGACTCTTCTTGTGAGATTAAGACTGCTTTTAACTTTTATGTGGATGGTTTTATTAAATGGTATCAAACGTTATTATACTATCAGAGCTCTTCTTTGTATTTTATTTAAGTGGGAAAAGGTCTGCAACATTTTCCAGTCAGGAGCAGTAGATGACCGATTAACCTAGGTGTTTGATACATATGTGTACTGACCTCTTTTATGCAGTGAAGTCCTGCTGTTTGGGGAGTTTACACCTTTTTGTTTTATGGTGGCAATGGCGTCCTCCTTTCATATCGGATTAGATTGTAAGCTCCAAGGAGCAGGGCCCTCCTATCCCTCTTGTATTGAACTGTATCGTTGCTGTATTGTTTCCCGTTATATTGTAAAGCGCTGAGCAAACTGTTGGCGCTATATAAATCCTGTATTATAATAATAATATTGATTATTTGAACTGCTTGGATCTTGGTTTCCTGCAATCTACAGTTGTACATTTTCTGATCCTTTCTGGAAGTGGATACTGGGGGTGGAATTTGGAATCTGCAACTGGATAGTTATGTTTCTAGTGCTGCAATTTATGTTTCTATTATATTAAGGACTATGCATATTGGATTTTGTATTCGCATGGATTGTTTCTGTTGTGAATGTTATTAGGGATACATGCAACCTCTCCTATGCCGGACCTGTGGGGTCAGCAGGGGGACCAGCTGGGCTTACCTGTAAAGAATTCAGTGATAGCCTATAAACTGTCTAGGACATAAAGGGTGGATACATATGAGGGAGAAGAAGCTCAGTCATGTGACCAGGGCTATGTGATATGATCTATGTTTAGCAGGACAACTTAAAAAATAGTCAAAGTTGAAAATGGTGGTTTGTAATTTAAAGGGGGCACCAGATATGAGGGGGAGGACTTTAAAGTATAGGGGGACAGCGATGTATGGTGGAGGGGTTTTTGATGCAAGGAAGAGGAGGTGAGGGGGAGCAGGATTCTGATGTAAGGGGGGGGGGGGAGGGGTGGCTCTTAAACGAATGAGGCTTTGATGTGAAGGGGTGGGGGGGGAGGCCGTTTTGACTAATGTAAAACAAAATGCACAATTTGATCAGTGGTAGCTTTCAAAAACTGACTGTAGAAAAAAGAATTTTATACTATAATTGCCCCATTTATAATTACATTAAAAGCATTGCAAACTTATTTACAAAATATGTTTCTCGATTCTGCACATTTTTTTTAATGTGAGACACAAAACAAAAAAAAAAACACAAACAAATGTATATATATACATGGCAGCACAGTGGCTTAGTGGTTAGCACTTCTGCCTTGCCTTGTGGGTTTTCTCCTACACCCCAAAGACACGCAGGAAGGTTAATTTGTCCTTTCAAAGGTGTCCTTTTATGAAACAGAGATCAGCGGCGATCCTGAGGATCGTTGCTGATCTCAGATCATTAGTGGTTTAGGAAACAGAGATGATCAATGGAGAACATGTTCTCTGCTGATCATCTCAGCACACAAATGGCCAGTATATGAAGGAGCGATGTCAGCCCTTCACTGGCGATCTGTGTTCTCCTTCCAGATTCTCCAGCCCAGAGTTGGAGAATCGGGGGAACCGCAAACGAAGCCGCGATAATTTACTGCTGCTTAGTAAACGGTGTTTGACTGATCTCTTACTGTAATCTCGCGAGTTTACAGTAATAGCTGCCGTTTTCTAGCATTCAAAGCGTTTGTAGATCGTTTTTTTTCTTCATTCGGAGAAGCGATCCACACCGCTTCATAAAAAGGCATTCAGAGAACTCTCTCCTCTGAGAATGCCGGAGAACTGAGCAGCGGTCATTTACCACTTCATGATAAAAGGACACCTAAATTGGCCCTAGTATGTGTGTATATAAATGTAAGGTAGGGACCATAAATTTCCTAAGGGGACAGGGACTGATATGAATGTACACTTTGTAAAGCACTGCATACATTGTTGGCATTATACAAATACCTCTGATAAATAACAGTTAAAGCTAAGGTTGTTTTTTTTTTTGTAGGTGAGGGGGGGGGGGGGGGGGGGGTGCAGATACAAACATATTAGTTATGTGTAATGTACATATTTACATATGTACATATTTATCTTATTATACCTGAGAAGGGGGCAGCTGCTTTTTGACTATCTTCTGTTGCTATGAGGGTTAACAGCAGCTGCTGCTAGCCTGAAATTTTGGCTGCTTGTCCGCCCACCTTCCGCCCTCTCCACAATTCACAAAACTCATATTACTGGTCTTGCACAGTGCATCGCTCTCTGTGAATGGAGCATTGGAATGATATGAACTCCATGACCCAGTCACAGGAGAGAATAGTAATATATGTTTTGTGAAGGAGGTCCTTAAAGAAAGATGTTTATAAGAAGCAGCAACCTTCAGATAATTATTATATTATTATTATTATACAGTATTTATAAAGCGCCAATAGTTCGCTCAGCGCTGTACATTACAAAGGGGGACAGAACATGTGACAGAACAATACCAATACAATGCAAAACATGAGGGGATTGAGGGCCCTGCTCTTTCAAGCTTACAATCTAGGAGGGAGGGGATGGTGGCACAGGAGGAGATAGCTGTGGGGGATGGAGTGGTAGGAGTGGAGGAGGTCGGCAAGTTAGCAGGGGGCGGGGTAGGCTTCCCTGAAGAGATGGGTTTTCAGGGTGCGCCTAAAGGAGAGGAGAGTAGGTGATAATCTGATGGGTTGGGGCAGGGAGTTCCAGAGGATGGGTGACACCCTGGAGAAGTCCTGGAGGCGGGCATGGGAGGAGGAGACCAGGGAACTAGAGAGAAGGAGGTCTTGTGAGGAGCGGAGTGTGCGTGGGATACAGACCATTACACATAACTAATGTGTTTGGTGCTGTATCCAAATAAAATACTAATCTTCAGGGGAGGGAGATATATAAAGTGGGTTAGGGTTCGATAAGGGTTTTTTTGGGGTTAAAGTGATTGTAAAAGTTCCGATATTTTTTTTTTAAATAACATATCATACTTTCCTGCTATGTGGTTTTGCACAGAGCAGCCCCGATCCTCCTCTTCTAGGGTCACACTCATGCATGCTCGCTCCCGAGCTGCCTCTGTGTGTCTATGAGACACACACAGATCACAGCTCGGCCCCCCCCCTTGCTCTTTCCTCACTGGTTGTGATTGAAAGCAGCGGGTGCCATTGGCACCAGCTGCTGTGTCTCAGGCAATGAGGAGACAGAAAACGGGAGAACTTATGCTCATTGTTGGGTCAGGACTGAAATTGGACTCAGGTGAGTATGGGAGGGGGGGGGGGGTGGCTGAGGGGGAAGCTACACACTGAAGGTTTTTTTTTACCTTCAAACTGTAG